AGGAGGTGCGCATGCGCCGAGGTCACATAGCTCTCTCCCGTGCCAGCGCTGCGCATGCGTAGTGGTGCGGACTGAGGTCGGAAGGGTGGCTGGGCCGGTATGCGGTCGTGGCCGCGGTTAGCGGTACCCAAGGGAGGCCCTCCGAGGAACGAGGCGGAGTCGCTTGGCCCGAGGGAAATAGGTGTTCTCCTTACAGAATACTCAGTAATGCGTACTACCTGGCTCGGTCCGAAAGGGGTACACCTGGATAGTCCGTCCCAAAACAGCCACGGGGAACAGTTGCTCAAGTTTTGTCGTAAATCGTGCGGTTTTAAATGCGTCGCTGTAGTCCTTTATGCATGAGTTGGAAACAAATAGGAGCATTCTGCTTGAATAGATAATTAGTATTTCTGTAGAAAATTTTTAACATCTGTTCGTATTTTGTCAAGCTTTATCTGCCTCCTGAGAAACCTAGGAGGGTTGCAAGATGATTTGAGCTGGAAGGATCTGTATGGATAATGTCATTCCAAGCCTGTGCCATGTCAGGGACACCTTTCATCAGAACAGGTTGCTTAGAGTCCTGTCCAGTCTGGCCTTCCAGGGATGGAGTTTCCATCCAGTTTCCCTCACCACGCTCACAGTAAGGAACTTCTCCTTAACATCTAATCTAAATCTCTCCACTTTCAGTTTAAAACTGCTTGTCCTGGTCCTGTCACTATCTGCCTGTGTAAAAATTAATTATTGCTCTTATAACACTATCTTTAGGTGAAGGGGCTCTAAGGTCTCCCAGGAGCTTTCTCTTCTCTAGACTGATGATTGCCAACTTTCTCAGCCTGTCTCTTTTGCACAGGTGCTCCAGTCCTGTGATCACCTTTGCAGACCTCATCTGGACTCACTCCAGGAGGTTCCTGCCTTTCTTGTGCTGAGTACGCCAGAGCTGGACACAAAACCCCAGGTGAAGGTCTCAGGAGGTCAGAACCGACCTTCTCATCCTTCAATCCTCCTCCTCGTCCTTCCATCTGCTGACCAGGCTGGTTAGGATGCAGCCTGGGACATGGTTGTCTTTCTGTGCTCCGCATGCAACTGGTAGGCTCATGTCCAGCTTTTCGTCCGCCAGAACCTTGAAAGAAGGATCTCTGCAGGGCAGCTCACAGTGAATCTAAATCTTGCTTCACACACAAATCCCTAGGGAAAGCTAATGTAGTGAGGTCTCAACAACTATCAGGAAGTTACAAACTCTCTAATTCTGACATTTTAAATTCTTCCTTTGAATTATGTCGCAGCTAAAAAACCACCAAAAGTAACTCAAAATCACATTCTAAAACAGTAGAACAAATAGATTGCAAAGGAAATCCTCTCTGATACTAGAGATTATACCGCCAAAGACAAGATGATTCTGAGCTATTTAAACCATTCAATTTTAGTCAGCAAGTAGGTCTTTGGCCTTCAAATTTATTAATGCTAATTTGGTCACATTTATGGGAAATGTTGCATGTCAAGAAAATAACAAATTCTAAAGGCATTTGTTCTACTCCATGTGTTTCTTGCATGCAGAATACTAAAGAAAATCAGTAAGCTCTTTAAAAGGCAAAGTTACAACAAAAAGGTATCAATCTTACTGCAGAGATGGTAAGACATGAGATGCATTTGGAGACCAACTGATTTGAGGCATGTTTACTTGTGGAGGTAAGAGTCTCAAAAATGTTTTAAACAAAATTCTTAATCTGGAACTCTTTGGCATAAGATTTCATCACTGATACAAATTGGTGGCATTTTATGAAAAATAATCAAAATTGGAAGTGAGCAGAATTGTTTAATTAACTGAAACAAGAATTAGCTTGAACTCTAACAATCACAATTTCAGAGCTCTAGTATTTTAATTCTAGTGTTGTTTGAATTTGTATTTCACACAACGAAGACAAGGCCAAAGTTGTTCTAATCACTATGGAAAAATGTATTTTTGGATGGATGTATATGGGCTGAGTGGACCTTTGCAGCAGCGAGGTAAAGAAAACTGCCCTGTGCGTTACTGCCAAACACCACTACTGGTACAAACACGATCTGACCTGTGAAGTTGCTCTCTTGAGTCCTCTTGTCTCAAAGAGCGAGTAAGTTTTAAGAAAAGCATTAAAGGAGACACATTTTTACTGCGTGTGCCAGCTAAATACAAGGCAGTCTTAAGCTGGAGGTTTATGCCTCATTATTCAGAATCTATGAAAGTACATAGTTTTAATACATTGGTTCACACAACTAAGCTATGCACACAATATTGATGCATGCATGCACCTCTATAAGCATAGAAAAGTTAATGCTCTCTAAATGTGCTATTTCAAATGAAACACAACATAAAACAGACAAATCAAATATATCACTGCTAAAACTAGGCACTCCTCATTTTATCTACTGTGTGACATTTAAGTCATTACTGCTCTGTTCAATTAACTTGAAATTATGCTTTCTGATAGCATTTTTTTCCCCTAAAAAATCATGTTACTGAGCAAGTGCCTTCTTGCTGAGCAGTTCATTAGTGCTAAAAGGTGTGTTGTGATTTGATTTAACCACTATTAAAAGCAGATAAAACCACTTGTTAAAAGAACTTAAAAATACATGTCTCTGATGGTAGTGTTTCATTTTAAAAAGCACAGAGACGTTTTGATGCATTTTTCTTTGTATTGTGTCTTGAGGCTTCATGTACATTGTTTTAATATACAGTAAAGTATCTTACAAACAAAGTCATAACAGCATAATCAGAACATAACTATATCAGCAATGGGCTGGTACATGCTGCGGTGTCCCAGAGTGGCATTTGTGTGTAAAAAATCTTGTCCTGAGTCACCGGGCTAGAAACTGGCAAAGCATTCCAGATGTGTAATGCAAAAAAAAGGGGAAGTTCTTTGGGATGTTGTTACTCAGTAGTAGATGATGAGTGGACTGCAATCTGCAGTGCAGTTGGGGAAAAGATCTTGTGTTTGTGTGCAGGAGCTGGACCACTGAAGGTCTTGCAGGTCAGAACCAGAATTCTAAAATTAATCTTCTGCTTCTCAGAGAAGCAGTGTAGTGGGCAGAGTAACTCTGGTATGTTGAAGGCTTGGAAGCAAGCTAGCAATCTGTCAGGAGCATTCTTTAAATACTTGGGGATGGTGCCACAAGCCTTTTTCTCAGTTCCTCAGGCATACTTAGGAAGTATATCCCAAGCACTTGTAAGTATTACAAACATATTAAACAAACAAACAAACAAAACACTGACTAGAAGAATATTCTCCATCTACAAATCAGAATATAAAGGCAGCATTTGTAAGACTCAGGACTAGGGATTCTCCAGCCCCTCTTGATGCTCTGATCACATACCTCTCATTCCTTACAAGAATGTTGATTTGTTCAGCTCTAAACCATAGCAGGGGCCCCAAATAGACTGACCATGAGTGGGTGGTGATCAGGTAATTACTTATTCTAGTCCCATGCTGTCAAAGGGGAGATGAGGGTCAGGATGCAAGTTCTGCACCCCCTCCCAGTCCCTCTGACCTCAAGGTCAGTGATGAATTTTTTACCTTTCTATGCTTTCAGGGAAGGGAACAGGTGAGGCTTAGTCAGCTTTGTACAGAGGGCTGCATGCACAGAAAACCAAGCAGCCTCTCATTTTTTTCTGTTGTTTCTGTCTACCTTTCAATGCATAAACAAATCATATGTGCAGTCCTTTCTTCAGAAAAATTCCCAAAAGGCTAGCACTGGGAAATCTGTCGCACAGTCAGCCCTGAAGAAGTTAGCTCTTGTTGTAGTGCAAAGCACTGCACTAATAAACTGCTGTCTAATAAGTGAGAGTTAATAAAATGAAGTGGTAAACCAACATGTGAGTTATGAAGATCATCTATCACTAATGGGTGTTATCTAGTGTCCCATAGATGCTCAATATATGTTGTTTATATCAAATAATAAAGTCTTGTGTCAGTAGCATTAACTGGAGATGGTGTTCTGTGATCATAGAATAAAAGCTATCAAGGAGTTTTGTTTATTGTACTTAGTTCTCTCTCCTTTTTTTCCTTGCTCTTCTCTGTGCTTCCTATCAGAATGGTATTTATAGGAGCAATTCTTCAATTAGTTTTAAAAAAAGCTTAAAAACATCTTGATACAGATGAAGTTGAAAAACGTTTATATTTAAAAAATTATTCTGTCAAACTCTGCTATAGTGCTCTAAAGTGATTCTCTAAAAGCCAAAATACTGTGGGGAACAGGAAGACTAAAACATACTTAAAGTAAACATGTTTTTATATCCTTTAACATTTTGGTCTATTTTCTAAGGAATTCTGGTGGTTTTAATCATTCTATATTTGCATGTGAGTGTGTGCATGATAATGTCATAGTTATTTCACCTGGTTACTTTAGGCCTTGTTGTCCAGTTCCTACCTAAATGCCCTGAAACATGCTAACTTCTTACAAGTCTGATGAAATTGTAAACCCTGGGGATTGTCAAGGGGTGTGTTAGTTTTGGATTACTTGATTTTTTGGTGAGGAGGGAAAAAGCAGGAGGCAGGAGATTCTCTGGGCACCAGAGCTGAGATTCTTCTACAAGCCATGGTGAGGACTAATACAACAAATTGTTTCCCTGTAATTCATAAAGTGCATGCGTGGATGCAGAGACTCACTTGCTGCCTTTGAGAAAAGGTGTTCACACTGGAGCGCATGGATGCTGAAAAGCTGTATTCTAGTAGGAAACTCAGAGAGAAGATAGAGAAGGAGAACCCTTGCTTCCAAACTCATCCTTAAAAACTTAAAACAAATCATCCTTAAGAAACTACACCCCATGAACTAAAATGACCCACACCATGTAGTTCAAGAAGACTATTTTGCCCATGGGAGAGACTCACATTACAGCAGGTTGGGCAGGACTGATACTCCTAAATAATAGAACCATGTTGGAGAAGTCCATGGGAAGGACCCTATGAAGAGACTGTTCTCTCTAGGTGAACTGAAGAAATATTCCAGAAGTGATAAACTGACTAAAACCCCATGTTTTGTATCCCTTCACTATTGGTGGGAAGGAAAGTAGGGCTGGGGAGGGGGGGAGGCATTCTAATGGTTTGTTTTAGCTCTCTTTATCCTTTTATTATTGTAATAAATTTTTCTTCATACCTATTAAGTTTTGAGTTGATTTTGTCCTTAAAGTGTTTTCTCCTAATCCTTATCTCGCCCCACGAGCCTTTTGGGGGTTTTTTTCCCCCTCCTCTGCTGAACTATAGTAGAGGAGAATGAGTGAATGTTTTTTTGTTGGTCCCTAGCTTTTAGCCAGTGTCAAACCCCAACAAGGGCAGACCCTTATTATTGCTGCAAGCAGGGATAGTGCTACAGTGTGAACTCTCCACTTATTAAAATTTATGTCTAAATGCAGACAAAGCATCAGCTGGCCCACATATCTTATTCAGACAGTAGCAAATCCAAGCACAAGAAACAGATACCAAGCAGATGAGGGCTCACTAGCTCCACTGCTAATATGAGATTTATACTCAATTGAGTTTGAGCCTCTTGTTCAGTAGCACCCTGGACAAGAAAGCTGACTGTTTCAAAGTGTTTCTGACAACTTATGCACTCTCTTTAATGCAATAATCTCTAAAGTGTTCTTCACAATTGTTATACAGGTGGAACCTGGCCGTGAAGATGTTCAGAAGTACAGAGAAAGACAGCATACGTATATATATGTATATACACACACACATAAACGTGTGTGTGTGTGTGTGTGTGTGTGTGTGTGTGTGCGCGCGCGCTCATCTGTAAATATACATACATTTGGAAAAGTCTTTAGATATATATATATATATGTGTGTACACATATCTAATGTGTGTTTGTGTATGAATATGTGAGTCTATATTCTATGAATGTTAGTACTTACAAAAAACCTGGTAAAATGGTATTGTATCATTCGCAATTAACATTCTCAGAATAGTCCTCGCTTGAGGACTTCATAGTTACACTCCAGTGAACATTGATGAATTTAATATTTTAAAACTCAGTAACTAAGGAGACCAAAAAATACATTTACCAAAATATATTTATCTAACTGTAGAACAAATATTGGACT